AACTATATATGGGAGCTATATCTAAATCTGAACCGATTTTCACGAAACTTGGCACACATCATTCTAGACCTAACTCAGTAGGCTGTACCAAATTTCGTGCAAATCGAATGATATTTAGGGACTTTGGTACCTCATTTACCTTAAATCATTTACCAAATAAATGACCTGTGCCAAATTTCATCCAATTCGGATCATAAATGCGACATGTACTTTGTTTACAATTTAACATGCACAGACAGACGGACGGACATGCTTAAATCGACTCAGAAAGTGATTCTATGCATATTCTCAAAAGGAACCATGGGTCTATCTCGATTATTTTTGCCTGTTACAAACATATGCACAAAGACATAATACCCTGTACCACAGTGTGGTGAAGGGTATAAAAATGCTATTTGGCGAACACTATCCAATGCCTAGTATGTATCAAGGTTTATAGTTTTTTTTTTTTTTTAATTGTGACGGTTTTTTGGAGAGGCAGTACAGGGGATGTTGGACCTATATAGCCGTTACTAGCATTAAATCTACGATTCGTATAAATATTAAGATCTTCCATGTTTAGGAAAAATTGTCCATTTGCTTCAAATGAATTTTTATTATACCCTTGAAATTTGGCACAGCTTATCTATTTGGCCCAAGGACGAACCCAATTGAAATTGGGAAAAATCGGTTCAGATTTAGATATAGCCCCCATATAAATTTTCGTCCGATTTTCAGTAAATGGTGCACCAATGTCCCTATATATCATTCGATTTGCTCGAAATTTGGCATAGCGTACTGAATTGAGCATAGAATGATGTGTGCAAAGTTTCGGGAATATCGGTGCAAATTTGGATATAGCTCCCATATATATTTTCGTTCGATTTTATGTAAGTGGTCCAAAGTCCCTGTATATCCTTGGATTTGCACGAAATTTGGCATTGCGTACCGAATGAAGTCTAGAGTGATTTGTGTTAAGTTTCGAGAAAATCGGTTCAGAGTTGGATATAGCTCCCATATATATTTTTGTCCGATTTTATGTAAATGGTGGACCAAAGTTCTTATATATCCTTCGATTTGCACGAAATGTGGCATAGAGTAATGAATTGAGTCTAGAATCATTCTAGAATGATGTTTCGGGAAAATCGGTTCAGATTTCGATATGGGTCCATCATATGGATATGTATTCGTCCGATTCTACAAAAATGGTGCACCAAACTCCTAATGTTTGTTCGATTAACACGATATTTTGTGCAATGTATCAAATCGAGGCTTGAATGACGTTATTTCGTTTCGTTGAAATTGGTGCAGATGCAGCCATAGCTTCCATATGTATCGAACGGTTGTCGTACTGAATAACGTGTATCAATTTTGCTATAAATCGTTTTCCATAAATTTGTCCCATGGTACGCAGACTACTCCAAATCTGCCCGAATGAAATTAAATTTATCATAGGTTGCAGAAAGACATGAGCATGTTCCTTCGAGGGAACAGTGACATGCAATTATGAGGATACATATGTACAACATACCCAATGTGGTGAAGGGTATCTTATAGTCTGCCCAGTCCGACTTTACTACTTTCCTTACTGTTTTGTTTTTTTTAATATTTACCCCATTTTTTTGGGTATGCGCCACCATAAGGAAGCGATCGATGGTTACCATCTTCATATTTCATCTATATATCGAAAAAAATATTGTGAAGAGCGTTTAAGTTAAATGTTTTTCAAAATTGTGACCTCTTGTGAAGGAGGTACCAAAAGGAGTGACCCTCTTCGGACATGGTCTAAATTTAATGATGTATAAAGTGTGGATAAAATAGGACACATCAATCGGATGATATTTTATTTAAAAATTTTAATTTGAGGCGGATCATACCAGTAGCAGAGGACCAATGGATCATATCTGCGGACTTCGATATAACTTTTTTCACCTTGAGGAGTGAATATCAGAAAGGATGTACCAATGGGTCTCATCTTCATACTTGGCACAGATTTGGTAACAATTATAATGAACACAGCTTGAATCTAATCGAACACTCAATTCGCTAGATATTGGCTATACAAATGTGAAAGGAGATAACAAAAAAAGTGTAACCGATGGGTTTTCTCGTCGGATTCGATCTAAGTTTGGGAAAAATTATTACGATAAACGTATACTCGATTCTCCTGCTATTGTTGCATTTATTGATTTTTTTTCAATATTTTGAGCCTTAGTGGAGAAGACACGAGAAGGAGTGGACCGATGGATTTCATCTTTGGCCCGTTTCATATCATATGAGATTAACAAATTTTGAAAATATTGACATTTTCTGGTAGAGGATATAGACGCGGATGGATTTTATCTAGCTTTTTGCTAAAAATATTACGTTTTGCAAAGTTTAGATGAAATTGGATACTCTCTATTCGATCTATATGCGAAGTTCAATTTTTGAAAAAAAATATTGCACTTTGTGGTGACTGGTTGGTCCCATCTTTGGACTTGATATAGATTTTAGTAAAAAGAAGTGGAAAAGCGATAAGTTCGGCCGGGACGAACTATGGATACCCTCCATCATAGATATAAAGGTGGATGGTGGATGACCGATCAAGCCCATCTTCGAACTTGTCCTGCCTACAGACAAACAACGACTCTATGCAAAATTTTGGTGATCTATCTAAATTCGTTTTGAGGCTAGAGTGATTACAACAGACAGACGGACATAGAATTTTACGCTGATAATATATATATATATATTATAGGGTCGGAAATGATTACTTCGATGAGTTTCAAAGGGAAAAACAAAATTAATATACCCTCCATACTATGGTGGAAGGTATAAAAATACGATGTGTACATTTTCCATCAGAGATGGAGTGGTCTAAAAAATTTCCAAATTTTAGTATGTTGACGCTGAGTGGGGGAGGTAGCAGAAGGAGAACGAATGGATACCATCTTTGGACACGTTCTAGGTTTGGTTAAAATAATTCAATATTGTAAGTTTGAATGATATTGTATATTTCATTGACTTTAGGGTCGTATCTAATTTATTGCGCTCCGTACAGAAATACTCACCTTTTCAGCTTTATAGGGTTTGTAAGATGTCCGTATTACCCAAATACGTAAGGACTTTATTTGCATCTGTGCCAATTGAAAACGGCGAAAATGGATGAAAATATTTTTAAATTGATCGAAAAATTTTTATATTTGTAGAAAAATAAATTTTTCAATAATTGGAATTCTATTTTAAATTTTAAAAATGTTGACACTTTGTGTGACAGGTACTAGAAGGAATATATCGACAATCCCATATTTACATATTGTACAGGCTTGGTACAAATATTATTTTGTACAAAGTTTGGTTCCAACCGGATAATATCTCCACATTATATTCTAAAAAGTTTTCATTCAAATGTTGACAATTTTGTGGGGGGAGGTACCCGAAGAACTGCAACGATAGTCTCAAGCTTTAAACCTGATTTAAGAAAGTTTGGAAAAAATAGTACGATGTGCAAAATTTGGATGCAATGGATTACATTCTTCAATGTTAACGACCTGACCTGGACAGTCAGATTTTGTAAATCTACTTTTGTCTAAAAAGATTTTGGTTCAGAAAGACACCTGCAGATCGAAAACCAATACATATTTCGATAGGTCACATTTTTGATGTAACAAAGGTCATATACCCGCATTAGTCATAAAGCCGAAGCTATCAAAATTTTGACCAAAATTTTAGTCATGTGTCTGTTGAAAAAAAAACTAATTACTAATTTCAATTCGTCTTTATCAACAATCCAGTAACAATAACAATAAAATAAATGATATGAAATGAAATGTATATACATACGAGTAGAGATATTGTATAGTTCCGATTTATTGTGGGAAATCGAAGGGTAACCATACGTCCGTAAATTATCTAAATCGAATGTTGACAGCTGTAATAAATTCGTCGAATTTTGCGAAGAAATCGCATTAGTCATTCATTTTGGTTTGTTTTTATCAGCGTAGAGGATATTTATCGGTTTTTTTTATTATTTTTTTCGATAAGAAAGAAATAGACACCACTAATGAGGTTTGCAAAAGTAGTTTTATAGTTTTTTTATGAGTTTCTTATCAAATAAAATAATGACAATTATTGAGGAATGGAAGTGATTTTTTGGGGATTTTTAACGATCCAAGTTGGACATAAAGGGACTTCTTTTAATTTAGATTAAATATTTAAAAGAAAAAAATATTTATACCCTTCAAAAATAAAAGGACATAATTATTATTTTTTTAATAAAAAGTTATTATTTATTCGATTTTATTTCTTAACCCTTTCAGTGTCAAAAAAATGTTTGTCGGAATAAAAAATCGATGATTTTGTATTTAAAATCATATAAAGGGACATAGTTGAGAAAAAAATTGCAAATGTCATTTTAATCCTCGGACAGTTTCGTCTATCTTTAAGCAAAAACAAAAACATCAATAGTAACGGTACATAGGATAACCGAAAAATCGCAAAGAAAGAGAGTACTTTTAAATGTCGAATATATTCGACAAAAACACTGAAAGGGTTAATTTGTTAGTTTAAATAGACGAAATGGCATAGAAGGCTACATACAGCATGCCTATATTTAACCCTTTAGCCCAGAAATATTAGCCAAATATTCTCCCAATGTTCCCTTATTTGGTAAACAGTAGCATTGCATGCCAGTGGCAGCACTGTAATCAGAACCAACATTGTTTTTTGTATATTTGCCTTTCATACAGCACACAAACAACAAGCTTTTCAAACACAAGCACTCTCATACACACACAACGGAGCCTAGACATTCCATCTCAACGAGTAAAAAAAAAACAAATAAAGCTTTCACAAAGTACATGACAAAAGGGCAGACAAAAAAGCTTTTTTTCATTTCAAACAAGCATGGCTTGTGTAGCACTCAACGGCAGACGTCAAAGTTGCTGTTCAGTTGTTACTTTTATTTTCTATGGCCATAATTCTTAATGACTTCATATAACGCTGTTCGTTTATAGTTCAAGTTCGCCACTGTCATACTCGTGCCTAAATTTAACGAGTAAGGAAAACCATAATGTCTTGCTAATCGCTTGACAGAGCGCTTCTAGGCAGTGTGGAATTTCGTAATAGAAGTTTCACATGAAGCACAAATTTTTGCATGGGCACAGGTCGTCCCTTTGAACTGAAGTGCGCTGGAGTTCGACTACTTTTCGGACTTTGGCGCACACAACGGTTTGGGTGAAGCGATCTGCCCGATGAAGGAAAATACATATTTAAATTGGGAAGGAAACCAAGGGATGAATTTTATTAGTAATACTAAAGACTTTGCTCAATGAACGCCGTCGATCACTGAACGACATTGTATTTTCTTCTACACCTTGAGTGTTGTTCACAGGTCCACTGAACAGCGTCAAATAAGAACAATTTCATAAAAATATCTGTTAAATTGAATGAAGGTACGTGTAATATATTGTTGTCCCATTTCATGGAATGCGGTGCTTAAAAGATCCAATGCTGCAGTAGTGTTTTACGTATAGCTGGAGGGTCAGTAAATAATATAAAGCGACATTTAAAACCAAAGCACCCTCATAGACAACCGTGGAGCTGGAAACCACGGAAAATATCAAAGGTGTTCGGAACAACAACTGCAGCGCAAACAAGTGTGCTGCCGAATATAACGGAGTTATGCCATCGACCACTACCCATTAACAAAGTGGAGAAAATAGATAGGAAAGTCTTTCAAATGATTGTGAAAGGTAATCATTAATTCATGAACTGCCAGACCTTCATTGAACGATATAAGCAAAAAATGATCTAGTTCGTTCGATCACTGAACTGAACGAGATTGCCCAAGACTATTTTCTGCATCCCAGAATAGAACAATGGAGACTTTTTGGAAGATATATTCTATCTATAGAAGACCTTTCGGATGAACTTATTTATCACTATTCGGAACTTCTCTATAGTAGTCCTTTTGATTATTACAATTATTGCTTATCGCAAGGTGGAGTGGAATCCATAAGATTTGTAGAATACTCTTTCATATAGAGAACATTTAGAGGTTTTCCATAAATAAAATTATATAATTCTTAAGCCGCTCGTACAGATTTTTTCCATATGAATACCCAAAGCTACATATATGTAAAATAATATCTCAGCTACTGGGAAAAATTTTTCTCTATGAAAAAACTCTTTGAGGAATTTGTACTGGAAACATTTCCTTCAGTACTGGAAAAATTGCCTCTATTGGAAAAGTCTTACCTAGCTCCTGGGAAAAAATTCCTCGGCTATCAAAAAAACCTATAGGAAAATATGAAATTATTTTCTTATAAGAAAAAAAAACTCCCAGTTAAAAAGGAAGACTTTTTCCTATAAGAAAACAAATTTCCTGCTACCGAGGAAAACTTTTTTCTTTTTCTTATAAGAAAAAATCTTTGTTTTTTTATGACGACTTTTTCCTATAAGAAAACAAATTTCCAGCTATCGGGAAAAACTTTTTCCTATAGGAAAACATTTTTAGTCAAAAATATTCTTCAACTATTGATTATGGCGTTTTCCGATAGGTAAATATTCCGCAGCAAATGAGGAAGATTTTTCCAATAGAAAATATTCCACATCCACCAAGAAAGATTTTTTTCGAATAGAAAAAATCCTCAGTCACTGATCAAGACTTTTTCCAATAAAAAAATAGCTCAGTCTCTGAGGAAAACTTTTTCCTATCGGAAACAATTCCCCAGTCACTGGAGACAGCTTTTTCCTACAGGAAATAATTACTCAGATACTGAGGAAGCAATTTTTTCTATAGCCAAATATTCCTCAACAATTGAGGATGTCTTTTTCCAATAGAAAATCAGCAAGGGTGACTTTTTCCAATAGGAAAAAATCCTCAGTCACTGAGGAAGACTTTTCCCAATAGGAAAAAAATGCGTCATCCTCTGACCATTGGTCATCGAATATGAAAAAATCCTCCGTCATTGAGACTTTTTCCAATAGGAAAAAAATCCTTAGCCACTGAAAAAAGACTTTATCCAATAGGAAAAAATAATTAACCAGGCAGAATGTCGTTTTCCAAAAAAAAAAAAAAAAAAAAAAAAAAATCATCAGGAAGTCGTTTTCCAGTAAGAAAAAATTCTCAACCACTGAGGAAGACTTCATCATCTATAGAAGCAATTATTTGCAAGATATTTTATGTATGAGATCTACAGATCTTCTTCTATACGACATTTGAACTATGGACTACAGTAGATATCGGATATAAAAAATTTCCAAAAACTGGCGATTTCTTTCTTATATGGGTTTTTTTCTTATATGGAATTATCGGATATAAGAAAGTTTCAGAGTTTGAAAGTTTGCATATGTTTCTATTCATATAAATAATATTCTTTCAAATACCATTAAAAAGTATTTTATTTTTTTAAAAACATTTTCAATGTTAATAAATTGGCCAACAATCTTACATATTTTCTTATATGAAACGTTTTCTGATACCTTGTCAGCTTTGGTGTTTGACAAACATGTCTTATATCAGTGTTTTTCTTATACGCGTTTTTCTTATATGAAGCAATTTTTACACTGATAAGATGTAAAAAGGCTCGGTGTTTTTGATAATCTTTCTTATATGCGATTTTTTCTTATATAAGATGTGCTTATATCCGATATCTACTGTATTTTTAGTTAACTCTGAAACCCAACTATTCTTCAGTAATATTACTTTTAAACAAAATATTTGTACGACTTCCAAACACTGTGCCACCCAAAGACACAACAGAGTGCATCTTTTATGTAAAACTAACACAGCTACACACGTATGGTGTGAAAGCTTTCAAAAAAGCTTTATAGGCCATTTATATGCCACTTTTGTTTGCTTTTATTTACGGCGGTGAACATCTCCATATTTTATGAAGGAAATAATTCCCATTGACATGACCGAAAAGTATCCCTAAAATGTTCATAATTGCACCTAGATAGATTGTGCCTAATCTTAAATACTGTGAAAGAATATTTAGTCTTGCTGATCGCTTGACTAGTTGCTTCTAGGCAGTGTGAAATGCTATGCGGCGTTTCACATGAAGCACAATTTTTGAGTGGGCGAAGGTCGTCCCCATTTTGCAACCATAAGATACTTCGGTTGTGGTGCTGTTTGTCCCATTACTTTTCGGGTCGCAGTATTAGATAGCTGGGGTTTTCTTTGGTTTTTTGGGTGAAGCGATCTGCCCTGTAGATGAAATGATTGACGTTGGTGGAACAAGGAGAAGAATGGAAAGGAGGTGATTGGAAATTTGAAATTTTGATAAAATGACCTTCCAGAGGTGTCCTATAAATGGAGAATAATTCTCAGATACTCGGGAAGTGGTTTTCCAGTCCCAAAAAATGGATAGCTAGTTAGGAAGACTTATTTCACAAAGGAAACCCATTTTCCAAAAAGAAAATTTTTGCTGGGGAGAAATTTATCCAATAGACAAAACAAACTTAATACGAAAAAAGTGGCTCAGCTATAAGAAAATTATAATTTACAATAAAAAAATAACTGTTCCTTTAGACACTCAGAAAGAAAATTTCCAATAGCAACAAATTATCAAAGACTTTCCTTCTAATTGGAAAAAAATACTCAGTGATTGGCAATACTTTTTCTTTGGGAATAAATGTTCAACTAATTGGAAAGACTTTTTTCCTATTAGAAAAAATTCTCAGCAGCTGAGGATATTTTTCTCTATAGGAAGAAAATCTTCCTTAGTCCTGGAAAGAATTTTTTCTCTAGAAAAAGTCCTTAGACACTAGAAACAATTTTTCTCAGTGGCTGGGAAGACTTTTTCCTATGCTAAGAAGTATTCAAATACTTGGAAAGACTTGTTCTTAAAGGAAAAATGCCTCTGCTACTGAGGAATAAATTTTCCTAATGGAAAGGAGGATTTTCCTCAGTGGGAAAAGTATCCTCAGCTATCGAAAACGACTTTTTTCTATAGCAAAAAATCCTCAGTTACTGAGAAAGACTTGTTCTTATAGGAAAAATGCCTCTGCTACTCAGAAATACATTTTCCTAATGGAAGGAGGATTTTCCTCAGTGGGAGAAGTATCCTCAGCTATCGAAAAAGACTTTTTTCTATAGCAAAAAATCCTCAGCTACTGAGAAAGACTTATTTCCGATAGAAAAAATCCTCAGCTATTGGGGAAGACTTTTTCCGATAGGAAAAAAATCCTCAGCAACTGAGGCAGACTTTTGCCTTTGGAAACTAAATTTCAAATATAGGAAAAAAATTCTCTATACTAAGGAAGACTTTTTACTATAGGAAAATCTCCTTAGCTAATGCTAAGGTACAGAGGAGACGTTTTCCTATAGGAATGAGATCCTGTGCTACTGAGGAAGACTTTTTTCTCCAGGAAAAATTCTTTAGCTATTGGAAAAGACTTTTTCCAATAGGAAAAATAAATCCTCTGCTACTGAGGAAGGTTTTTTTCCTCTAGGAAAATATCCTTAGCTAATGAGAGAGACTTTTTTCTATAGGAACTAATTCCTCAGCTACTGAGGAAGATTTTCTCCAATAAGAAAAAAATCCTCAGCTACCGAGGAAGATTTTTCCTATAGGAAAAAAATTCCTCAGCTATTGACGAAGATTTTTTTCGATTGTAAAAAAATCCTCAGCTTTTCCAATAAGAAAAAAATCCTCAGCTACCGAGGAAGATTTTTTCCTATAGGAAAAAATTCCTCAGCTATTGACGAATATTTTTTTTCGATTGTAAAAAAAATCCTCAGCTACTGAGAAAGCGTTTTTCTTAAAGGAAAATTTTTCTCAGCTACGAAGGAATACTATTTCCGATAGAAAAAATTCTCTCTGCTATTGGGAAAGACTTTTTCTTATATGAAAAATATATGGAAAAATACCTCAGCTACTGATGAATATGTTTTCCAATTAGAAGTCTTTTTCCTATAGGAAAAATTACTCAGTTTCAGAGGGAGATTTTTTTCTATATATTCTTTAGCTATTAGAAAAGACTTTTTCCAATAGGAAAAATAAATCCTCTGCTACTGAGGAAGTTGTTTTTTCTCTAGGAAAATATCCTTAGCTAATGAGAGAGACTTTTTTATAGGAACTAATTCCTCAGCTACTGAGGAAGATTTTTTCCAATAAGAAAAAAATCCTCAGCTTGCGAGGAAGATTTTTTCCTATAGGAAAAAATTCATTAGCTATTGACGAAGACTTTTTTCGATTGTAAAAAGAATCCTCAGCTACTGAGAAAGCGTTTTTCTTATAGAAAA